TTTCCACTAAAGAAAATGAAAAAAAAAAAGAAGAAATATCGTAATCAGACATATTAGATGAATTTCGAACTGTCTCCCGCATGAACATCCTTCATTCAGCAGTAAGCCTTTATATGTGACAACTAAATATAAACATAAATAAATATTTTATGAGCACTAGTATTAAACCAAATAGTTTAGGGTATTTAATAGTCGATCCTGCTCGCGTATAGCGTTTTAAATTTAGTTCATTCTGTTGTGGGTTATCTTGTATGCAATGCGAATTTAATGATCGTGCCGCGCGATGCGTCAAAATGCAAAAGCTTAGCATTTGCGCACCTTTTCCCCCAGAAGAGAACGCCACGTCTCATCGAGCAATAACAATCATTTCAATTTATGGGGTAGGTAAGACATGATAAACGTCCGATGTACGTCCTAAGGCTTAACTATGTTAAGCGGCAAGCAGGCAGTAAGGATCTCATTCCAGAAAAGACGAAACTCTTGTTGACTTAACTTTTTTATGTTTGTTTTTTTTTTTTGTTCTTTAGTCTTTGCATTCGCCAAAAACTTTTAATACTTTTAAGTGGTTTCGGATTTATATGAGAAATTTTTTTTCTTAAAAAAAAATTGAAGTTTAAAACAATATAAAAAGCACCGGCTGTGTGCAAATAAGCATTACTTGAGTTAATATTTTAGAATAATTTTTGTCAAAAAGAAATCAATTATGATTTGTTCAAAAAAAGTGTGGATAACTTTGTTATAAAAATGAAAGCTAAGAAAGAAGCTACGCTCGCATTAGCACGAACTTCGAACAACCATCATAGCTCTGCAATAAATACGCAAAGGTCGCTTAATTACGCGTATGCTAGCATAAGATTCGTCACAATCTTGTCTTTGTGTTTATATAAAGCGAGTTTGCGGTCGTACGTCGTTACATGATTTCCAAGTTATTATACAGACATGTATACGAAATGTTTCGGTCCTTTTACAAACTTTTCATATTTGACAATGTGGTTCGGTTTATTTTCAAGCCCGATCGAAGAAGCCGGATTGCGTATCAACGGTACATTTTTCATCTTCAAGAAGACGTTTTTTCTGCATAGTCACACAGCTCGGGAGATCCACGATAGGAGAGTGTTAGCATGACTCAATTGGTGCGGTCCTAACAAGTAGCGACAGGGCTAAGACTATGGGTGTCGACTATGTCGACATTGAAAAATTTGTGAGGACATGTGAAACATCATCGGGTCGTCGGGACTATGTGGAAAATTTGCACATAAACCGCACAAAATTTGTACGCAGCTAAACTGTTCACTTTCTTGGAGTTTCGTGATAAGACGGAAAATACAAAAGCCTTACAGGGATACTATTTTGCTTAGACGGCACATTACATTACTTGGTGGTGTCACTGCATAAGTAGTACCGTCAGCTAGTTGATAAGGATGGTCTTGCTGCCTAGGCGGCGCATCCTGTTTAGCTCGTGTGTAATCGGGCATCTTGCAATTCGTCGAAGCGTACGCTCCAGGTCTATATTAAAGTGCAGAGACATTTACTCAATAAATGGTATAATTGAAGGCGACATGCATCCAATATCTTCTTCTCTGCTTTCGCTCCTCAGACATGCACGCGTTTACCCGCAAGCTTCTGTTCGCCGAAAAACTGTATATATGTGTATGTATATATACTTATTTAATATGTTTGTCATATAGGCATACACGTTCATTACATATCGTATGACTGTGTTAGTTTGCTGCCAATTTTTTGGAATCGTTAGAGTAAAAATTGTTGATATCTTTGTTATAAAAGACAAAGTTAGAAAAGTTTTTCAATAACTTTGTACAAAACTTGCATATTCCTTTTCGTCGCCAGGACGTAAGAGAGAGAGAGAGAGAGAGAGAAAATTGAGCCGAAAAAAATGCAAGATGCTTCCTCTCTAAAGCAGCCAGATAAAAACACAGGAACAGGAACACGATGTGCATGTATATATATATATATATATATATATATTTGTTTGCTTTTGCCGGCTTAAATTGTTCTGCAACTTTGCGATGAGTTGAAATCTGCACATATTTTGTTTCCACTCTTTTAGTATTTCAGTGTTATCCTTGTTTTTCCTGTTGCTGTTGTTATTAGTGTTGGCCGTCATCGCATACAACGCAGTAAATCACATCCTGCACTGTATGCGTATAAGCATTTTAAAAAGACTTTTTTTTTCTTTATTTTCTTTTCTCTTATTTTTTTTCTTCCTTTTTGCCGATTAGTTATATATATTGTAAAAAGTTGAAAGAGAGAGAGAGAGAGAGAGAGAGAGATATATAAAGAAAGAAAGAAAGAAAGAAAGAAAGAAAGAAAGAGATAAGTTAACATATTTGCTGTGATAGGTATAGAGTGACGGGATTTTGGAATTGTATATGCAAAAAAATGACGACATTTGTAAGCAGCTTTCGCTACTACTTTTACTATTCCAAGAGACAACTTGCGGCATTATGCAGCATTAGATTAGATAGAGTTAAGTCGATCAAGAGGAAACCGACTCGCTTAGGACATAAGCGGGTTTCATGTAATACCACAAACAGGATATACTAGTGAATTCAGTTTATCCCAACTAACCAACTGAAATGGTTATCTGGCACCGAGCAATGATATCTTTTGCATTAAAAGACTTTACCCCACTTAGCGTAATAAAGCAATGTTAACTTTTACACAAGAGAGGCCATCTATGCAGTTCAGCTTGCCGCCCATAGTTCACATAGTTCACTTACAGTAAACTTACAGTAAACTTACAGATTTAAAAAAAATAAAAAAAAAAATAAAAAAATTCCATAAAAAATTTTTACTTATCAAGTTTCTCTGCAGAAATGTAGCAGCAACATAACCTATCGAGGAATGATTAATTTGTGCAAATTTTCAAGTGCATTTTCTCAAAATTATTGAACTGAGATATAATATTGTGTGCAAATGGTGTGACCAATATATGCAAATTTAATTTGCGCGAATTTATCAAATATCAGAAATATATTTTTTCTAAATTGGTAGCACTGTGACAGATATCTCAAGGTCATGTTTCGGCTGCGCTTGCTTTAGTACGTTCGCGTTAAAATCGATTAGGCGATAATATCTAGCTGTAAATCGGCCATGAAACGCATTATAACGAGAGGTGAGAATCGCGTCTATGCATACGACCCGGAAGCAACCGATCAATTGAACAAATATCATGCAAAAAATGAGCCCAAAACTGAACAAACCGCGCCAAAGTCGTTCAAATATCGAAGCGATGTTAAGGGTCTTCTTCGCGCGATTATCGCGCGCTTGTGCGCTATGAATTCCTTCCGCCGGGTCAAACGGTGGGCAAGGCATTCTATTTGTACCCACCGTATTCATCTAATTTAAACGTATGTGATCTCTGGCTATTTCCTAAAGACAAAAGGGAACAACGTTCGGACTCGATTGAAGAGATACAAACTGAATTAGTTTGCATCTCTCGCAGAAACCGTTGAAAGCGATTCCGGATACCAACTATGACAACTATTTCGAGGACTAGAAAAGACGTAGGCATGAAACATTATATTGTCATACTTTATAAAATTAGGTGGACGTGGCCAATTCGATTACCAGAATAAACATGAAAGTTTGTATCGTGTTTCTGCCGTAATTTATGAATAACAAGCTAAAACCACGGAACGCCAAATTGTTCTCAGTTTTTGTCGCATGGGCGCATGTGTAGGTGGTGCAAGCGTGTTCTTTGAAAAGTTTAAATCACTTCCAAATTCTTTTGCAAACTTAGACTCAGACTGACATATTTAGCTGGATTCCGATATTGAAACTAACCAAGAATTTATATACTTTATAGGGTTTTCGAAGTTTGCTTCTAAACGCCATAAAGGCGAAATTAAATTTCGATACACTATAAAATTGGGTAGGCGTGGTCTATTTTTTACATCGCTCGTTCACATTTTTGTAGATTTATCTGTTGCGATTTGTGAGTAATGCGCACAAAATCGAATTTTTTACTCTTTCGAAACACGGAGGTGTTTTCAGTTTACATGGTACTGTAGGCGTGGCCTTCGACTGATTTGACCCATTTTCAGTATCAACTTGCTTGTACGAACGTGCAATGTTTCTGCCAAATTTAAAGTGAATGTTTACAATAGACATTACACAGCCGGACGGACGGACATACTTAAATCGGTTCAGAATTTGAGGTGAATCAAGAATATATATTTCTCAAGCCGTATTTGAGGCTTCCCTCTAAGCGTTGCAAACATTTCGACAAACCGACGAACATAATATCTCTGATGCATCAATGACGAATATAAAAAGTTGCAAAATTTACTGCAAATATATTTTTTTACGATTTTCTTTTTTTTGGGAGTGTTCTCTAAACCACATATATTTCTTAAAACATTGTTTAGCCTTTTCGTGAATAAATCTCTCAAAATGATATCGTCACAACTGGATGATTTTTGAGAAGATATTTTTTCCGTTTTCCTTTTCTTTTCCAATTTTATTTAGAAATATTCGAAGAAATTAAGCCCAGTTAGCCTGAGTGTTTCGCAAAAGTTGAATTTACCATTGTTAGACCGTGTAGACCATGTGACTCGCATGCTCTGATTAAGCGGTACATAGCTTAAACTAAATTACATTAAATTGTAGTTTAACGAGCAACACATTCACAAGCAAGAGATTTTTTGCAATTTTCTGCTTTTATTTATGAAAATGGATAACGTGCATTGAAAATTTTGTACGCATACACATATAACTTTGCAAAGATTTTTCCCTTTTGTTGTATTTCTGATTTGCTGATTTGAACATGTTCGGTGACAAATGTCTGCGCAAGCTGAAGTGAAAAGAGATGAAAATTAAATGGATATTTCAAATTGTTAGTATATAAGCATCCAAAGTGCGGATGTGCACATCACTCAATCGCTGCATGTACACTGTACTTGAATTGTTTATGTGACTAGAATCGGACAAAACTGTAGGGGATCTGTTGAGTGAAAAACTGTCTTATGTAATTTTAGTGGCCATTACTTGGACAAATGCTCCAGAAAATCAATATCCAATACTCGGCGAAGTTTACGTGGTAAAATGTGAAGTGAAGGCAGATCCGAATCCCACCATTGATTGGCTAAGAAATGGCGATCAGGTAAAAAATTTTAAATCGCTTTGTAATTATGCACAAGCTATTATGCTATCATTGATTTATCACTTTTCCTATCTTAGATACGAACTGGCGATAAGTATGTAGTTCAAACTCATGGTTTATTGATACGTGACGTACAGGAATCGGATGATGGCATTTACACATGTCGAGCAGCAGTAATTGAAACCGGCGAACTATTAGAACGTACTATACGCGTAGAGGTCTATAGCCGTCCTGTTATTACTTATTTACCTATCACATTGGAAGCTACAGAGGGTCAACCCTTTGCTGCTAATTGCACGGCCACTGGCAAACCGAAACCAGAAATCTCTTGGATTAAAGATGCAGCCCAACAAAATGTGGCGAATGCTGACCGTTTCAACGTGAACCCCTTAACAGGACTTTTGACCATTAATGCTGTGACTCAAGACGATTACGGCACATACACATGCATAGCAAAGAATGACGCCGGCGTGGTAGATCAAAAGACAAAATTAAATGTGTTAGTTAGACCCTCCATCTATGAAATGTATAACGTGACGGGAGTGAGCCACAAGGAAATCGCTCTTACCTGTCGCGCTAAGGGACGGCCAGCTCCCGAGATAACCTTCCGACACTGGGGTACAGAGGATGAATTCGCTGCTGGAGTTCAAGTCGATGATGATCGCATTGTGCTAGAGCAGCATTTCGATGAGGACAGGGGTGAAAGCTCGGGTACTTTGCGTATATCGCGTTCTATGCGTTCAGATGATGGCTTGTACCAATGTTTGGCTCGTAATAAGGGTGACACCGATTATAAGACGGGACACATCACCATAGAATTTCCTCCAGATTTTACACATATGAAAGATCTACCTCCAATATTTAGCTGGGACGAGCGTAAAGCAAACCTAAGTTGCTTAGCTATGGGTATACCAAATGCTACTATAGAATGGCGTTGGAGTGGTAAGCCCATCAAAGAGATATTAGACAAGAATTTACAACAAGTGGGCAACGGACCGCGTAGTGATTTGATAGTACATCCTGTTGCTCGTCATTATTATTCAGTATATAAATGTGTGGCTACAAACATTCACGGCGTAGCCGAACAAGATATACAATTAAAAGAAGCTCGCGTACCCGAATTGATAGCGGCCGCTATACCTAAACAATTAACAGCGACTACTATTACTTTCGATATAAGAGGTCCTCCCGCTGAGCTTGGATTGCCCATTACGGCCTTCGCTGTACAATACAAGGAAGCACTTAATCCCGACTGGTCGACAGCTCTAAATCGTACCTGGTCTCCCGAGTCGCCATATATTGTAGAAAGCCTGAAGCCACAAACCTCGTACAACTTTCGATTTGCAGCACGCAACGCTGTTGGTTTAGGTAGCTGGGGCGTTAATCTTCAACAATCCACTCCTCGACGTTCCGCGCCAGAGGAGCCTAAGCCCTTACACTCACCTGTGCAAAATGATCAAGAGGAACCCGTTGTCGTCTCGCCCTATTCCGATCATTTCGAATTAAGATGGAGTGTCCCAGCCGATAACGGTGAACCAATTGATTTCTATCAAGTGAAATATTGCCCGGTAAGTTCCATATCAAACTCAAAGTTTCTTCTATCAACAAATCAAATTTTTATATATAAACTGAAAGTAAAAATTTTCGCCTTAACAATTTTCTTTTTGTTTTTTTCTTCTATGCAAATAATGAAAAGGGTGTCAAAATGGCTGGTACTTGGCATGAATTAGAAAATCAATGTGTCTCGGTCGATGTGGTTGAGAGCACCGCCTACGAAATGTCACATCTTAGCGGCAACACGTACTATCGCATTGAATTGAGGGCACACAATGTCATTGGATTCTCGTCGCCTGCGTCCATAATTATGAAAACAACACGAGGTGAGTCCGATTCTGCTAATAATAATCTTGGAACCCTATTGTATACGGCCGGCCTCAATTCGGCCGCCGCCTCATCAACAATACATTCAACACACACAAACTATATAACACTACTCATCACCACTATCACCTCCACCACCATCATAGCCGCTATCACCACAAAAACCACAACAACTGTCATGGCTATAGCAACAACAGCGTGCCTAACATTATTAAGTCTTTTAGCCACAATGATAGCTTAAAGAAGTTACAAAGTTTAAAAAAAAAAAAAAAAAAAAAAAAAAAATTGAAAAATACAAAAAAAAAAAGAATAGTGAACGTGAACCAATTGATCAAAAACAAAAAAGAGAGCAAAAAATCGGAAATATTTGCTAAGCTTTTCTTTCTAAAATTTCAAAAATAGTTTACATTGGGCTACAAAATTTTTTACAGTGTATTTTGTTTAGCATTTCTTTTTATTTCTCTTGTATTGTTTTCATCATTCCGTTTCTATTCTTTTCGATCTCTCTTTGCTGTTTTTTGTTTTTTTTGTTTTTTGTTGTATATTTTCTCTCTTTCTCTGTCTGTCTCTCTTTCTCACCTTCCCTTTCGCTTTTACTGCATGTTTAGTTTTTGTGCAATTTTTCTCTCTATGTAGACGAATTATTTTAGTAAAATAAAAAAAAATAAAAAAATGAAAATATTCCATTTTTAAATTATATTTAAAAAATTCTTTTCAAGCACGAACGAAACAAAGAAAAAAAATGCCCTCATTATTTTTCACAATTCAAAAGTAAAAAACAAATTCACATTATTTGCAATAAAATTAAAATGCATTATTTTTCTTGATTTTTTTTCCTCATTTTTAAGCTACGCTTATATACTGCGTTAATATTATTGATTTGTTTCTATAATTTTTCTTAAATAATTTATTTAGAAGAAATTCGTAAATATTTGATAAAACATTTTTAAGCCTCATTATGAATTCCAATAAGAATATTTGCGCACGAAAGACTCTTTGCTGGTATGAAATATTTTGGATGACCCAATCCCCCCACGCCCCCGCTCCCGTCTTACCTGATTTGCCTTTCTCGATACCATTCCTTTTCTTTACATTTCCGATTATTTAAGACTTGGCTTTCTTACGTAAGCACGACATTTGACTCTGTAATTGAAGGGATTATAAGGCTTTCAAATTTCGTTTACCCCCTTTCCCCTTTCTTTTACACCGTCCATCTTTAAGATCTTGCATTTACTGGTCTTATCGTAAGCTACGACAATGTCTTCTTTTTCATTATTTACTTAATGTCAGAAATCATTCACAATTACAAAGAAAGAGGTGAAGAAATCTCTTCACTCCTGAGCCGAATAGATTGATATGATAATTTCGTCAGGACAAGCAAAAATTAGAAGCAAAAGTTGATATTTCTAAATTAAGCCTCTCGCAAATACAAATCAAACCCAAGTCACCAAATTCCACTAATACAGCAGAGATTTGTAGCCATACACTGTGTGAACAAAATTATCCAGACGTTAAAAGTCACAAGTTTGCCACAAAAATGTGTTTCTTGTGCTTTTCGTAACTTGACAACCTTGCTTTAGCATATAACATAGCAGGCATTAGGGAGTTACTCCGAGAAATCCAAATTTAGATCACAAAATCACCAAAATCTGAGGAAAAAAAAACACTGTCAGTCAAAGAATCTTATGACCATTGTGTTGCATTGCTTTGCGGAATTAAAAAAGTATTTTGATGAAAATATAATAAAAACCAAAGCCATATGTAAGATCGCATCTCATCACTTCACGTTTTCAAAAATTTCCGATATTTCCATCATCTGTCAAAACATTTAATATCCGATAATTTCACTTAGTAATGAAACCGTGGCCTGACTGAATCTATATTAGAAACGATTTCAGGATGACAGTCTTCGTTTTACGTTGAGTAAGTTAAGTGTTTGCCTTCCTCTTCTTGATTCAATGTCGTCTTACAACCAGGCAGACTTCAAATCTTTATGCATAATATGTGCAGAACTAGTTATCAGCTCAATCGCCAGGTTCGACTTATCGTCAACGTTTATCCTCTTTTTCACTTCTTTTTCACTTCTTTTTCTCTCTCTGTCTTTCTCTTTCTCTCTCTCTCCTTCTCTCTCTCTCTCTCTCTCTCTCTCTCTCCTTTCCTTACTAACTTAACCACTTTCCACTGTAGCTTCTATCGCCTCGGGAATTTGACGATATGTTTCAAAACTTCTCCGTAAACCACAACGAGCGATGGGCAATGTAACGACCACAAAATAATATTTTCGTAGGGAGAGAGAGAGAGAGAGAGAGAGAGAGAGAGAGATAAAGAGAGAGAGAGAGAGAGAGAGAGATAGAGCAAGAATTCAAATTTTATTAAAGCAAATTCATAATTATTGAGGCACTACTGAAGCGTATACTGAAGCGAGCAAACGTGTATTGTCCGCCCTTACATAGTGGGAGTCTTTGCATTTCAATATTTTTAAATATAAATATGGATTTTAGCAAGAACGACTTGAGGTATAAACAAAATACACTGAAAGAAATTTGTTGCTTTTTTTTTATTTAATTTGAGAAAATTTAGAAATCATTTTTAATTTCTTCATTTTTTTTTTTTTTTTTTTTTGTAAATTTTAAATACTGATACGAACATTTTTAATATGAAATCATATGAAACCAGCATACATAAACATACGCATAACTTTTGCGTTTAATGGCATAATTAAATATTCATATGATAATCGAGGCATTACAGCAATCATCACAAAAGCAAACATAAAA